TTTTTTTTTTTGAGATTTTTTAAAAACTTTTTTCTATAGCAAAAGTTACAATCATGAAAATTTTCCTGTTCCAGATCCATCTCGTTCCATACCAATCGCAACATTTGCATCGATGACCGTCGTCACCTTTGCATATATTGCGATGTCAGCATCTCTAACGCTCATGGTGCCATACTACCAGGTATCCAAATTGCTTAAAAAACTTTGACTAAAAAAATTTACAAATTTTTATAGGTGCACCCTACGGCCGCTTTCTCAGACGCATTTGCACTTAGAGGTTCCAGTCTGGCCAAATTTGCAGTATCAGTCGGAGCACTTTGTGGGATGATGACTAGTCTGGTATGTTTTGAAAGCTTTTTTGAAACAAGGATGGATACCTTTCTACTTTTGCGACTAAAAAATGTTGAACAATCAAGAGCCAAGAATGCATGAGAGCCACCAATGCCCTGCGGAAAAAGAAATAATTTCTTATTGTTAGATTTTTGAGAAATTGCCCATATATGCTTATGAAATAATTAGCATTCCCCTCATTCCGCTCCCTAATACTCCTTGGCAAAAGAAATTCTAGACACATCATGCGTGGAAATATAGCAAGTTGCTTCGACTTGTAATTGAACAGTAGCTTTTCTGAACAAAGGATTTTCAAAATACAAAATTCATTGGGTGGCCATTACCGCTTATGAACTCTTTTTTATAAACTTTATCAGATTATTGAAATATTCTAACTGAATTCAACCACAGGGCTCCCTTACCCAATGACTTCCTTCTTCATTCCCGACCCCGAAATTTCTGTGACTTCTACCAACAACTAATTTTCGACAACAAAATAATTTCAGGTTGGAGGTATGTTCGCATTGCCTCGGTGTGTATTTGCAATGGCTGAAGATGGTCTATTGTTCGATTCATTATCCCATGTGAATGGCAAGACCCAGGTAAAGCTTCGCGGAAAATTACCTTACGTATTTTTCATTCCAAGCCTTAGAGCCGTATTTTGCGCGATTAAACTTGCATTGTTGAAACTAGCACGATACTTATCTTGGACGTGCAGGACCGAAGGCGAATTTGGCGCACTAAACTGCGCGCCTTTGACATTTGGCGTCGCGTAGGCGTTATATGCGTTGCTTGCGTGATGCCACATGCCAAATTGCGAAGGTTCCACTTTAGTTTGCCTCTACTATGGCCGCAGCTTCTAATAACTGTATCATTCATCTTCGGCAAAATCCTTTGTAATGACTGATTTCTGATCTTCCTTACAGGTGCCAATAAACGCGGTGCTCGTGTTCGGCTCGATGACAGCAATTATTGCATTACTGTTCGACATCACAACGCTGGTTGAATTTCTTTCTATAGGCACCCTTCTTGCCTATTCAATCGTCTCAGCTTGCGTGATTATACTTCGCTACCAACCAGCTCGTTATCAAGAAGATGGCGGATTCGATAATGGTAGGCTTGAAGTCTTCAATTAGGCTGCGTCCAGAATTGCCAGTGCCAGGGCCGTTTGATATTTTCTGAGGGACAGTGAAAGGACATATAATTCCTTCTTTAGTCACAATGTAAATTTGAAACTTGTATTTTCTTTTTCATTTTTTCCGTGCTAGCGCTGTGCAGCACCATCGATCGATCAATGCGCGCGTCCACTTTGGCGCTGGCACGGAGGTGGCACGCGAACAACTCTGGACCCACTTTGGAGTATCATGAAGGATTCTTCCCTTGTTATAGGAGGAAGACTAAGATTTACAATCCCCGGTAGTGGAATTCTGGAAAGACTGGATCCAGGACATGCAATTCATTATGGTGTAGCAGTAATGATGGTTGGCTTTGTGGGTGTTGGACTCTGCTTCAGTTCAGGTAATTCCCCCTCCCCCTCCCTCCTCCAAAAGGACGCTATCTAATTTCCCAAACCCCCACGCAACCAACAACAATGAATTTTCTAGGACATATCGACTCGAAAATGGGAATGGCGACATTGTCCTTTTTTTCTGCATTGGCCATAGTTTCACTCATATTCATCATGTGTCATCATCA